AGGATTTTCCTTGAGTTTGTGGGGTTTGTCGTGGCTTCAGCTGATGCAGAGCTGATTTTCTTCATGGTATCTGCTATGATGCCACATTAAATTGGGTTAAGCTACGCAGTCTTCTTGGGAGAGGGTATTTAATGGCAGTGACAGCCCTAAAAATGAGTTGGAAAAAGATCTGTGAGTAACTATCAAAGATTTCCCACTGTTACACTAGTTGTCAGATGAATTCGTCTTTTCGCTTGGTCTTGGCTTTATTATCACAGGTGGTTGCTACTGATGTGATGTTCTGCCTCTTTAACTCTTAATTTGGTTCTGTGATCCTGAGTTAGTTACTTAGTTCATGTGACTGTGCCTGAGATGGGCATTCATGGAGAAGACTACTGCTTCTAGCATTTTTTGCCTTTTACATCCAGGCAAAATAAAAATACCACTGACATGGAAGGCAAAAAAGACTGCTGGAAGTAAATTAGTTTTGTGAAGTACATTCTCACTTAAATTATACAAGCATTTGACATAAAGCACTCATTCTAACCTTAGCGATTTTGGATATCTGGGGAAAGTTCTTTATAGAGGAAGTGGTGAGATTCTGGAACAGGCTGCCCAGGTTGGTGGTGGGTGTTCCATCCCTGGTGGTGTTCTGTCCCAGGTTGGATGGGGAAACCTGATTGCTGGTGGCCCTGCCTGTGGCAAGGAGGTTGGAACTTGATGATCCTTAGGGTCCCTTCTAACCCAAGCCACTCTGTGATTACTGTTTTAGTGTTGTCTTTTTTAAAAATTGATCATGTTTTCTGCTGAATCCAAAGGCAGAATTTTAGTTCTACATGTCCCAGATGGTTAGATTTCATAAGGAGTAGTCAGACATCTAGTGATTTCTAATGAGAGTGAGGATACTGTTTGTGGTTGTAAATACAAAATATTTGTCCAAACCTTTAAAACTAGGCCAAGAACACTGATCTGTATAAACTGCAAAAATGATGTGAACAGGCCTTGTTGAAACTTGAGAGGGAACAGTGAATGTGAGTTTGCTCTCTGATGTATTTGTTAAGTAATATGTCTTTGCTTGTTATGCTTTGTTGTTAATTTACTGCATTAACTACTGTTTTGTTTTTTTTCTTCAAGTTAGTAATGACGTTATTTATTTTAATTTTAAAGGGTGCTATCTCTACTGAGCCTTGGCTTAGATTGTTGGTTTCTGGCAATGTGTTTGATTACATGTGGTCTTTTCCAACCTTAGTGATTTTATGACTACTAAAATATCTAGTACAAACATCAAACGAGGCAACCTAATGCTCCTGCGACTAAATTTCACCTTCTGTGGTGTCCTATGCCAAAGATCTTGTAAGTCTTCTGTGTTTTATGCAGCTTCAGATATGCAAAGTGAGAACCACCCAGCAAATACCAGACCTGCCAGATGGAGGCTATGTAATTACATGTGACAGTAAAGCCCAGGTTTTAGTGAGAGCTCCCTGTGTATTGCACAGCTGTGTATGTGAATATGTATGTTTGGTGGCCCTGCTAGGCAGGGGGGTTGGAACTACATGATCCTTGGGGTCCCTTCCAACCCGGGTGATTCTGTGATTCTGTGATTCTGTATTTCTGCTGCTTCTACCTCCAGTTGCCCTCCTGTTGCAGAGGACATCCAAAGAGACGCTCCTCAGTGTGCCCGTAACTCATACATAATCTCATAAGAACATCATACTTCCTGCGGCTTGAGATTGTTTTTCTTTTCCAGCTGAAGGCCTACTGACCTGAATTTAGACAAATATCTCTGCACTTAAACAGCTGAAACTGGTTGAAGTTGTTGCAACTTTAAAGATCTATCTCTAAGTGTCTTTGAAAAATTGCTGCTGGGCATAGCCATATTGAAACTTGCATTAGTGATAGAACATGAGGAAATGGTATCAGGTTGCACTGAGGAGGTTTGCATAGGATATCAGCGAGAATTTCTTCCTTGAGAAAATGGGCAAGTATTGGAAAGGGCTGCTCAGGTGGAGTCCATATCCTTGCAGGTATTTGAGATGTGTGAATGTGCCACTGAGGAACATAGTTTAATGATGGGACTCCAGTGGTCACATTATAGTTGGATCTGGTGATCATAAAGGTTTTTTGAGCCAAGATGGTTATCAACCCAGAGTCTATTATCAAAGAATAGAGTGAGGTATGTTAGGTATACAAAGGGACATTTCTTTGCAATGCTTTTATTTTTTAAGACTGGTGGAGTACTAGAATGATTAACTTGACCAACCTAAATATACTTCTAAATTGTAAGCCAGCCCCTAGATAAAACTTATGCTAAGAGGTAATACAGAGTAGCTTACAGAAAGATAACACTGGCTTCTTGGTTTTCTATGGGCTATGCATGATGTTATCATCTGAGGTCTTCCTTTCAGTTCCATTCTTGGGCTGAGTTCAAAAGTAGCCAGCAGTTCCAATAAACTTCAAACTGCTCCATCTTAAAGTTATATTTTATGGCATGTGGACGTCTGACTGCTTATTTGTGGAATTACAGATCAGCTCTCATCTGATATATAAGCTACCTTACAGTAGTGAAATAAAACAACAAATCTTTTTACCTTGACGTTTTTTAAAGCGTGTAGAAACACTTGTGTTTGCTATTACATTAGACAGTGAAGATTACTTTTATCTGGGAAGAATGAAAGACTTTCTGAGAAGAGTGCTGTCTAGTATTTAAAGTATGTGATCTGTGGTGGTTGTCTGGTGCCACGTATTCTCTGTGGATAACATTTGCAGGAATCACTCTTATTTCATGAAGGTGATTATTGGAAACTCCAGTCTTAAAGCTAGATTTCATACAAACTTAAACTTGAGGGGAAAAAAGGGCAGAGGGGCAAAAACTTCTGAAGAGACTTGTTCATTTCCTAAAGACTTCTCAGGGTTTTGGAATCTTTCTGTACTTGTGGAAAGCTGCTATGCTTTCATTTCAGTAATATATTTGAAGTTGTCAAACAGTGCTAAAGAGGCAGAAAAGCTGGTTTTCGTCTAGGGCGTACTGGCAAATCATAAATGAAACAAATTTACTGATAGATGAGACCGTGTACGCCAGAACTGAATATGTGCTAACCTGTGTAATTGCTCAGATGTGTATGCTATCCTGCATTGCTCAGTGCTGTGAACATTCTTGCACAGTGTTTTGGTTATTCTGTTGCTTTTTACATAATGGCTTTTCAGAATCAGAGGAGGCTTGTTTTCTGTTTTCCCCACAGCACAGTTGGAGTGAGCCTACCTGCCTTATCAGGTACAGAATGTATCCCACCAGCCTGTCAGGGTGGCTCAGGGACTTGCACGATCCGCTGTGTTGTAATTTCTCTGCTGGAATTCTTACAAACTGGTTTTTTTTACAAAGTAATCATCTTTTTGTTACAAAAACAATATTGAGGTTTATTGACATCTGTCTCTACTATGATTTTTTGTCTCACTTGCATTGGATTTGTAACTCAGTGTAGAGAGCTACAAATGATTGATAGACTTCTTATAATTCTGCCAAAATTAACTCTTGAACGCAGAAAGATTTTTGTGTATTGCTGCAGCAGACTATTAATCCAGGAAGGAACTGTGCCTTTCAGAAGAGGTAGGCAGTCACATACCACTGGCCCGTAGCTTTATCATCAGAATACCGGTTCAGTCCTTGATTCTCTGTTCGACGACATTTTCACTAATGTTTTCTTTTTCTAAAAGCAAGATAAGTGCTTCCAGTTCAACTAGCTGCACTGTAAAATAACAAATGCAAAATTATTGAAGGCTTTGCAGATAAATTTATTATATGTTATGTATAATACATAGGAACTGGTTCTTCAGCATGGAGTTATTAAAAAAACATTAAATTGCTTATCATGGCCTTCCCGTGGTTGTATTTAAATAAAGCTTGGGTTTTAGATAAATTCTTCAGTGAAGAGGTACGTGCAGAGTGCCCTGTGTTCTGCAGAGGTACCAGTCAGTCAGGTGGACAAAAATGAACCATTTAGGGGTCCTGGAATCTGGCCTGCCTTTAGAAGGCAGGACTTTGAATAGCAACTGAACTGAAGTGGATGTAGTTGTGATACTAGCAGTGTTGGATATCTGCATAAATTTCCGCAGGCACTCATTCAAGTCTTATGGTGAGAGAGATGCTTACGTTCTGTAGTATGTCTGTGATCTGGTATTGCATTTTCTTAGTAACGTTGTTGTGGTCTTTTCCAAATGTACCTGCAAACTTAAGAAATTTAATGTTTTACGCTACCAACTTCCTCTGAAACAAAAATTCTTCTAGAAATGGAGAGAAACTTAGAAATGTAAGAGATTGCTTGTCATAGTTAACATTGGATTTTATTTTGTGCATTTCATCTATGTATTGCCATTTATACAATGAAACTGGAGTGATGTACTTGCTTACTACGTAAGGTCCTATAGGATAAAACTGCTACAAAGACAGATAAATATTTCAAGATTGGATACTATTAGCAATAATTCTGATTGCTGAAACAGCAATTTTCCTTTCTTGAGGGAAAGGAAACAGTCATTTTAGTAACAGCAATACTTGCTGTCTGAGTAGAAAAGCTGCAGGGAGAGCATGTCTGAGAGGATTATCAAGCAAACTCAGATTGAGTCATACAGAGAAATGAAATGGTCTTCCTCCTTAACAAGGATGGCAGTGGTTTGGGATGCAAAAATGTTTTGCTTGCAATTGTGCAAAAATTCAGTCATACTGCAAGAGTTCCAAGTGTGAGATTTAAGGTCTCAGTAGAATTGAGAGAAGTCTTTGGGATACAGCAGAAATGATGTGCCATGTGGTCTTCAAACTCCCTAAAGGTAATGGGGATTTGTGGAATATTTAGTATCTTTATTGTGGTATTTCTTGGCTGTATTTGAAATGATCTAGTGAATGTCCTTTATGGAGCAATTGAAAAATCTCACTAAATTCTTTTTTGTTCCTTGTAGTTGGCAAACATGAGTTAACTGGACATAAAGTTGCAGTGAAGATTCTGAATCGACAGAAGATTCGCAGCCTTGATGTTGTAGGAAAAATTCGCAGGGAGATTCAGAACCTCAAACTCTTCAGACATCCTCATATAATTAAGCTGTAAGTTTTATTTGCTATAATCGGATTTATTTAAGCAATAATCTCTTTTGCTCTCACTGACTTGAAATATGTCCAAAGGGCAGTAGTATTAGCAGAAGCTTTTAGGGAACTAAATAGCTTCTAAGAAGCAGTATTCAATTTTCAGTATCCCCTGTTATGCATTTTCAACAACACTGATCTTCTCTGGGGGTAAGGGAAGTGTGCTTTAATGTTATTTTTCTAATTGTATTTGTTTTTTTTGTTTGTTTGTTTTTGGCCTAGAATCAAGTTAAGAACAAGGTTGTAAAGTGTACTTCTATAGGAAGCTTACTGTATTTTTCCCTCAGTATTTTTTAACAACATGCTGATCAGTTACCTGCGATTTCTCCGGTGTTGATGCCTCTGCAAAGTTCTTCTGAATTAAGGATGTGCAGTCTGTTAGGTGTGATCTGATATTTCAGAATTCTTTGATATAGCTGTTACCACTTGTCTAGTATGCAAAAAGGTCATTGCTTGCCTATCTGTTAGGCAATCATCAGTAGGGTTCAGAGTACAGCTAACTATGTCCCAGGCGAGACGCTCTGTAATTTATTTCCTAAGACTAGATACAAATTACTCAGTGAAAAGTGGTGCGAAATTCTTTCTCTTCAGCATGTGAAGGGAAGGATCAAGATGTAGGAGATGACAGAAAAGATTAATTATACTCAACTTTTCAACTGTTTGTCTTGACTTTCCAAAGTTGAAGGGTTGTTATCCTGTGTAAAAATGCCATTTGAGCTATAACTGATACTCGTGTCCAGACTCGCTGGTAACTTAGGGTTATGCTGCTTACGCTCTTAGAAATTAGACTGGGGAACTGGTGGGGTGAAAGTAAACAGTCTTTTTCTGCTTAATTATAAATAAGACAACTTCTAATTTGGAACACTTTATTAAAAACTTTATAAAATGATTTATCAGTATTTATAACTTTAGATCTATCTTTGCAAGAATACTTTTCTATACCGTGCTTTAATTAAAAACCTCGGAAGTGTCTCCTCCCTGTTCTTTAGACTCTAGTAATAGAATGGCTTGTGTTTTCTTCTGTAAAAATTCTTCCTCCTGCATTAAGTCATCCACTCTGTGGAGTTTGACCTTGCTTATGTTACTGGTATGTAACTGTTGTGTTCTGCAGTTGCCTTTTCTGTAACTAGAAAAATGAACTGACTGAAGAGAAGTATGGTTGCATCTTCCAAGAGATGTGGACTGGCTTATTTTCAGAGATCATGAGAGGTTTATCTTCCAGCATTTTTCACAGTCTCTCTACCCAAAAAGTGGAAATCACTGTGGTAATTTCAACTATGAACTGTTGTTCATGATTGCCTGAAGTATACAGCTTATTGTTTTCACAACTATAGGGAAAATCACGAAAGGTAATGTTAGAAGTGAGGTTGCACTGTAATTTCTTTCTAAAAGATTAAAATATAATTTCCTTTGTAGTGAGACTTCAAAATTTCTTGGTGGGGGAATATAAATTTTCTGCTAGTCTTCACAACAGCAGCCTCCCTAAATAAAAAGTGAGGAAACAGCTGATGAGAAATTGTTATGGCAGTGATTGTAAACTGACTGATAAAACCAGTACTGTGGGAAGTGTTACACAGAAATATATTTTAAAGTGCTTAAACAGGTGCAACCTCTCATACTGAGTACTTAAACTAATAGATACTTTTCTGTATCAGGTACCAGGTCATCAGTACCCCAACTGACATTTTCATGGTGATGGAGTACGTTTCAGGAGGAGAGCTGTTTGATTATATCTGTAAAAATGGAAGGGTAAGAAGTAGTTCAATTCTAGAGATCAATGACTTGCCTTCTGTTATTGCTTTTGCAACATTCCTATTAAATGATGGTTTGTTTTTATGTATTCAGCATTATTTTTGCTGCTAGCAGTTAAAATAAAGATATTTTATGGTTTCATCTTTGTCAATTTTTTTTTTTTTTTTTAGAACATGTTAACATGATCTTCACATGTACCTGTCATGCTGTTTTTTTCCACTTTGTAAAGCATTATTTCCATTATTGAGAAGCTGCTATATTGCCCTTATTGCCCTCTTTTACAGGTTTCTGTTAATTCTCTAATGTCCCCTAAGACAAACTATCTAGAAAGCTTAGTCTAACAAATAACTAAAAGCATCCTGGCTAACTTTGACATATTGCAGGGCATGTTCCATGGGAATGTCCAACTAAGTCTGCTATTTGAGCAAAGCTGCCATTAAGAGCATACATTTTATATAAAATTTACTGCCTCTAACTGTCAGCATCTTTTGTTTTATTTAAATCTTATTATGTACTTAAGTACTGAAGTACCTTGGTATTTCAGTTAGACAGAATAAAAGTTTGGGTGATGATGTTCCTAGTTTACTTAACTAGTTTCCAAAGAATGTTTGACAAATGTCAGTGACTATTGAGCAGGTGGATCTTGTTTTATCTTACCCATTTTAGAGCTGTGGCAGAAGGAAAATGATGTAAGATGTGAAATTTTCTGCCACAGAGATGTGCTGTGTAAAGTATCAAAACTATAGATGATAGCTTTAGGTCATTGGAAAACTTTCTGTAATTAATATAAACGAAAAAGTCATCTTCCACTGTCTTAGATTTGTTTAAAATTCTTGTTCTAGCTTGATGAGAAGGAAAGTAGACGTCTGTTCCAACAGATCCTTTCTGGTGTGGATTACTGTCACAGGCACATGGTAGTTCACAGAGATCTAAAGCCTGAAAACGTGTTGCTTGATGCACACATGAATGCCAAGATAGCTGACTTTGGTAAGCATTAATATCACCCTAGAAACATTTTTTGTGTTATTTAGGTCTAGTTGCTGTGGAATATACTTAATATTTGGTTACTTGAGTGTCCTGTATGGTGAGATAAAATCTGTGAAGAGCATGAATGCAAGAGAAAATACTGTTCTTGGGAATCTGTGGAATTTGCTTTTCCTTGTGCTTTCTTCTTTTTCAAATCAGGTATTTTTTGTTACTGTTATTTTTGTTACCAAGAGCTGTCATCTTTCGTTTTGCTTAACAATAATTCTCTGAAATAAGACTTAGTTCCCCACGTTATCACTTGCAAACTAACTTTTCTATTGCTTGTTCTTCCATCTGTAAAAAGCAGATATTCAGCACTCTTGGAAGTACAGTGCAAGGACAGTTCTTTATATTTAAAAAGCATATTATTCAGTAAAATGTGAATTCCAAAGATGTGACTGGGGAAGAAAAATGTAGTGTAAAAAGTAAAATGGGTGATTTTACAAACACCTGAGCTCTTTGCTACATGGGTGCCTAACTAGTCAGAGAATCTGATAGTTTGTATGAGCCATTTGTGACAGAATTGGTGGTGAGACTGGTAGCTAGTTCTGAATAATCATCTGAATGAAGAAACCTGACTGTATGAAAATAGTAAGGTATCTATACAGCTGTGTCATCACAATGTATCTCCTATTAGAAATAGTACATAATATCTGCTCTTTGAAGTATTCAAGTATGTGCATCTTGTGAATCCTACTAATTTCTTGCATAGAAATTGTTTGTGATACAGTTACTTACTTGAAGAAATAAAACACAGCAACTTAAAAAAACAAAAACAGTAAAAACTCTTTCCATGACAGAAGCATCTGCAAAAGCACAGCACTCAGTAAATCATGACTAGCTTATTAAATGAGAGCTTAATACTAGCTTCATGTGTGGCAGTGTCAGAGTTGGTCAGGCTGTGTTCTTCCATCTCCTGGCCCTTCCCTGGTAAAAGGGTATAATGCCTCCTCTCGAATTGAGTTCTCAGGACTGCAGTAATCTTGTTGAGGCTTCCACTGAGGAAAAAGGACAACACTCTCCACAGCTATTCCAGAAGTGGTAACTTTTGTCTGGTATTTTCTGATAAACTAAACAGGATATGGGGTATAGGATTACATGGTATTCTCATGCCTGAAACTTCAGTGGTTCCACAGAAGTGTCCCTACCAGCTTAGATAAATTGTTAACTTCTGTCAAATTACTGGTGATTTGTTCTAGATGTTATATACAGTGTGAAACCATTTTGTTCTCTGAATTTTTAGTAGTTACTCTTATGCACTTTCAGGTCTATCAAATATGATGTCTGATGGAGAATTTTTAAGAACGAGCTGTGGTTCCCCTAACTATGCTGCACCAGAAGTAATTTCAGGAAGGTAGGTTTTTTCTTTTTTTAATTGGATACATGTGTGCATGTACTTTGGTTACTATACTGCTTTATTCTAAAGGCTGCATAATTCTTTATCAGCTTGATGTGAAGAAACTATGCTGAGCTGTTAATTGTCTTAATAATTTTTCATAACTGTATAAGGCTTCTCTGAACTAGCTTTGAATAGCTCCTGTAAGTTGGAGGTGATGTCTAATGCCCCAAATCTAGTATGTGCGATGTGCCTCATATAGGAAGTAGAGGTATGGATAGAATTAGAGACGGCGTCTTCAGCGAAGTTGAGTGGCCATGAAATATCCGCTGCAGAATGGATATTCAGCCTGAACGTAACTTCCACTTTTTTTGGACTGTCATTGTCAAGTCTATTGTTTACAGCTACCCTAATATCATCTGTTGTTGACGGTAGGCCAAATGTCTTTTTTTTTATCTGGGCAGTAGCATAGATGTGGTAAGTCTAGGTAAATGGTCTTTCCTTGAATTTTTTTAGCATCTCAGATTTGGAGAATAGATGGATGATCTTGTTAACATTGTTTTAGTGGAATCTATGCAACATATAACACAGGCTTCTTGGTATTAGAAACAACTTTTTTTTTCAGTTGACCATTGTCTTAAATTGTATTTGTGGAGTATTTATACATAATAAAGGAGAAAACTACATACTTGCTCCCTAGCTTTCTGTATGTATTTGAAAAAGGGGAGAGGTGTGGCATGTAAACCAGAATGCTAAAGTACTTGAAGATTAGTTATCCCTAAGTTTGTGCAATTATTGTAAGCAAGCATGGTAGTTTTAAGGTTTTTTTTAAAGTATTAAACAGAAATCGCTAATAACTTTTTCCCAGGTTATATGCAGGTCCAGAAGTAGATATTTGGAGCAGTGGGGTTATTCTCTATGCACTGTTATGTGGAACACTTCCCTTTGATGATGATCACGTGCCAACACTTTTTAAGAAGATATGCGATGGTATCTTTTATACCCCTCAGTACCTGAATCCATCTGTCATTAGTCTTCTGAAACATATGCTGCAAGTGGATCCAATGAAGAGAGCAACAATCCGAGACATTAGGTAAAATACTAACTGATGTCTGTTGAAAGAATGCTAGAATTATTATCTTAGTGCACATATGCAATATAAAGAAACTAGTCAGATAACTTATCCTTGTTTTACAGTATAAGAGGAAAAAATCAGCTTCTGGTCATTTGGCCTTTGGTGTTTCTCATCTCCCTGGACAAAAAAGTTTCTATTGGAGACCACAGTTAAATGCTATAGGAATTTTGAGAAACTTGATTTAGAACTGTGTTTATACAGTCGCTGCAGAATGACTTGCAAAACTGCACAGCGCTATTGATTTCTGGACAAAGAACTTCTTGGCTTAAGAACCACTGCTCTGTGCTTTAAATATCTGAGGAAACATTACCACTCTCAATTCAGCATAATTACTGTTTAAATCATGTTTCTGGAGACTCTGAGAAAGACACGTTCAGATTAATATTCCACGTTAAGATAACACTTCTTGTTCTGACTTCAAAATCCTGGCATGAATGTGTTAAGACTGACAATTACTACAGAGAATTTTGATGAGCTAAAACTACAAATATATTTGAATCTGGAGCACATGATGGCTGTGATTTTCGAAGTGGGTGATTGCTTTGGCAAATATGAAATCTTTAAAACAAAGAATTGGTACCTGGTAAGCTGCTGGAAGAAGTACGCTTTTAGGTTTTTCTGTTTCCTTTGTGAGGAGTTCTAAGAAGAGGGTACTGAAATACTATATTAGTGAAGATGCTGCTGCTTCTAGTCTTAGAAGTTAGGAAACTATGTCTGTGTTTTTTCATCTTAAGGAAAAAAATGTGGCGCATATCATATGTGTCCTTCACTACTTCATTACAACAAAGAAATTGTTTTTTCCAGGTCCTATCAGAAAACAAAAAACTGAGAACTAAGAGCTGTACAACTTTAGTGGATAGAAGCTTAGCCCATTTAAGTCATCTTAAGTCTAGACAAGTATTGGGAAAGATGTTAAAAAACTTTGGTTGCAGAACATGGGTGGATTTTGAATCCTTAACAATTGTGTACTTATCCATAAGACATCATGTCAGTTTAAAGGGCAACCTGACTAATTAACTGAATACCTTAGTTGTTTCATGGCCATATCTGTGCAAGTGCAAGAGGAGTGGTTCATTTTAATAAATACTAACAATGTTCTAGGCACATTTACTCCACTTGGGCTGTGCTTTGTAGTGACATAAAGAAAAGCATTTCCTGCTTCTGAAGTGTTCATTATTGATGAAAGTATATTTTACTCAACTCATTAGTCTGAAAGTAGAGCTTCATGAATGCAACTGCTCTTCAATCTGTAGCAGATCTTTAGTTTTGAAAGTTTTCTTGTATGTAACACCTTGTCATGCCATATCATTTGGCTAGTTAAGCAGCTTACTCCAGGCACATAGGTTACTAGATGATAGAAGAAAAAAAAGTATCTGTATGTTGGCTTTTTTCCTTCTATGAAAACTATCTTATAAATACAGCAGTAGAGATATTTTCCATATCCTTGTCAGTTTTGTATGTCTTGGGGACAAGCTGGGGTTCTGAATGGGGGAAAAAAAAATTGACAGCACCATGGTCTTGTGGTGGTATTGCTGGTAGGTGGATGGTTAGGCTAGATGATTGCAGAGGTCTTTTCCAACTTTTATGATTTTCAAGGGCAGCACAGTTGATTTTATTCAAAAATGCTCATTTGAATATCTGTCAAATTATTACCCATCAAGATTTCTTAACTGTGTTAGGTGTGTATGAGGGACATTTGATGGCATAGCCTAAGAATTTTAGCAGGACAGCATAAGAATTTCAGCTGAAATATTCTTAAATCAAAGATACTAGAAGTAGGAAAAAAAACAACTACCCATTCATGTACTCATCAAGCGGATGAGTTACAATAAGGAGTTTTCAAAGCTCAGGTAGTTGCAACATTTCTAGGAAAGAGAGTGTGGGTTTTTATTTTTTTTAAAGCTGAATGTCTAAGAAAATGTTGTGAAGCCATTAATGCTTGCTTTTTATTTTATGGAATTTTTCAGTTGCTCTAGTGTGCGGATTGCTTTGTTGGAAGCACAGAGAAGGGACACTTGGGCTGACAGTTGTGATTTCTTTGTGTACATATGAAATATAACTTTTAAAAAATAATTTATTGCTAAGAAGGTTTGCTCCACGTACAGACTTACACTTTGTTTATTTTTAAATCTAGAGAACACGAATGGTTTAAGCAGGACCTTCCCAAATACTTGTTTCCCGAAGACCCTTCATATAGTTCTACCATGATTGATGATGAAGCCTTAAAAGAAGTATGTGAGAAGTTTGAATGTACCGAGGAGGAAGTGCTAAGTTGTCTGTATAGCCGAAATCATCAGGATCCTTTAGCAGTTGCTTATCACCTCATTATAGATAATAGAAGAATAATGAACGAGGCCAAAGACTTCTACCTGGCTACAAGCCCGCCAGATTCTTTTCTTGATGATCACCATCTGTCTCGCCCTCATCCAGAGAGAGTGCCATTCTTAGTAGCTGAAGCACCACGGCCTCGCCATACTCTTGATGAGCTGAATCCACAGAAGTCAAAACACCAAGGTGTGAGAAGAGCAAAGTGGCACTTGGGGATACGGAGTCAGAGTCGACCAAATGATATAATGGCTGAAGTCTGTCGAGCAATTAAGCAGCTGGATTATGAATGGAAGGTAAAAGAATATAATTTATTTGCTACAAGCAACAGGAGATTTTGAGCTGTGTTTTTTATATAGCCTACAAGTCTAAAAAACTGCATCTTCCTGATGTAGGCTGGTTCAGCAATAGCGATAAATGCATTAGTTTAAGGACCAATATATTAAGTTAGCAAAAAGAAATTAATGTGTGCTAGTTCTAAAACTTTCCAGTTTAGCTTTGCTTAATATGTGAACAGTCATGTTTTTCTGAATAATCCTTGTTCCCCGAAGCACTGAAGTCACAATAGACTGCTTTTGTCTTTGCATCCACCAGGTGTGAGGACTTTTTGTTGGGTTTCATATAAATTGTTTTGAGTTATAGGGTACCAAGATGGAAAGTTGCTCATTGTGACATAACAATCAATGAAAATTTGTCAAACGGGGGGAAAAAGAAAACAGCTAAAGATCAGCTGATATCAGGAGGAATTTGGAGATGAAAAAATGAGGATGAAGGAAGTGGTCTGTGACCACCCTAAATTCCCACTGGGCACACCCAAAGGGACATTAACATATGTTAATGAATCTTGGATAATAATGAATATGTATGTGGTTTCCAGGAAATGTATTGCATATTGCATAAGCAGTCTTAACTGCTTAAATTTAGAACGTAAACTCCAAGAGTACATGCTTGATTTGTCAAGTTGCCTGGTATGTATCATGAATTAAAAGGAATGCTGTTTTTTCTTACATTAGAATTAGAGTTTTCTTCCCTGATTTTTCTGGTGCTATTCCTGTGCAGGAAAACAGTTGTGAGCGTGTGCACACTGACTACTTGCTTACTGTATAAGAATGGTTTTGGAAGAGGCAATTTATGCTGACAGGAAAAAAGTCTTGTTAACATGTCTACCTTTCTACAGGGGCCTTGAGGATGTGCTTTTTTTTTTTTCTTTTTTTTTTTTTTTTTTTTTTTGTCAATAAGAAAAAAAACACAAACACATAAAACTGCACCCTGAAAAGCAAGTGAGATGAAATAAGAACAGTATGCTCTGCATCTCAAGCAGTTCTGGTAACTAACTCAAATCTCTTTTGTACTAGGTTGTAAATCCATACTACTTGCGTGTTCGAAGGAAGAATCCAGTGACAAGTGCATATTCTAAAATGAGTTTACAACTGTATCAGGTGGACAGCAGAACATACTTACTGGACTTCCGTAGCATTGATGGTATGGAAAAACTTGTGTTAATAGAGCACTAAGGGAAATTGTTCTAAATGCTGGGTCTTAATTTGCTTGTGAATAGGTAAATTAAACTGTTGGCCTTTATCAGTTAAAGCCAGATCTGAGTTGCAGTGTTTCTTTACTCCTTGCTCTAGTGCTCCTGTGATCAAATGATTAGCTGGTTCTTCTCTCAAAACCCTCTATAGGTATATTAACTCCTGAGTTAGTGCTTTGTATGTCTCTACCAGCACTGATGTCACTGGTGCTAAAGGGACAGTGCTATGAAGAAGCAATACTTAGATCAATTTAACCTGCCTCTGAGGGCCAGATTTAAATGTTAATTTAGATATGGGGTAGGCATGTGAACATCTTTTCCTAGTGAAGATAAAGCTTGACATGTAGGTGTACTGTCCTTTCTTGATTTGTACATTACTGTACTGAGTGTGGCTGAGATGGTATTTTTTTATAGCAGTCTGTATGATGTTGTGTTCCGGATTTTTGACCAAAAGTGTTGATAATGCTAGTGTTTTGGCTATTGTGGAGCAGTATTAGCAGTGTATCAAGGCTTTCCTTTTCTCCTTATGTTGCTATGTCCAGTGAATAGGCCAAGGGTGAACAAGAAGTTGGAAAGGGAGACAGTCTAGACAGGTGATTCATACAGACCACAGGGTTATTCTATTACATACAGTAGCATGTTTAGCCAAAAAAATAACCAAAACCAAACAAACCAATGAAAAAACAGACAAGGGAAATTTTGGGAAAGTAGCCGTTGTTTAGAGACTGGCTGGGCATTAGTCATGTTGTGAGAGGCGTGAGTGATCACCTTTCCATTACCTTGGTTTTTTTCATTCTCTTGTTAAAACATCTTTATCTTGATCCGTGAATTTTTTTGCTTTTAGCCATAAGATTTTCTTCTGCCATTGAGCAGTGTAATGTTGGAGGGAGTGAGGAGCTTGCTGGGCATGTAGCTGCAAGACAAAATCAGTGCACCATTGGTGGCAGTAGAAGATAATTTAGTTAGGAATTGTAAATGCAGTAACTGACATCTTCCAAGCTGGTAGCTTAACCTAAGCAAGATCATACTTTACAGAGTGATAGTACAACTGTAAGTTAGGTATTTGCCTGAAAATGAACAAAAGAGCTACAGTCTAAATACATTTTTAGGGGCAGAGTAGAAAAAAGAAAGATTATCTACAGCCAATCGTTTATGTAACATACCTAGGAAAACATGAAGGCAGGGAAAAAGGATTTGCTGGAGTCCAACTGGATTGCAGTATAGGATGGTTTAGGCAGAGTCTTTGATCAGTTTAATATAATTCAGCACTACTGTTCTTCCTTTGTCCCTTAGAATGATACAACTTCTTGCTTAGATCCAATGATACTTGACAAAAGGTATTAATCAGTTTCCTGTACCACTATTAATAAATTATTATATATTATATATATAATATAATATATATTTTATATATATGTGTGTGTGTGTGTGTTTTGGTATTTTTCTTAAATTACATTTTATATATATATTATTATTATATATAATATATAATGCATATAATTTTTTTATATATATATATATTTATTTATTTTATTTTATATATATTATATGTAATATAAGAAAAATACCAACACAGTGGGAGGGTAGAAGACTGCCTAGAGCCACTCAGCTTAGAAAGGACAGCCTGTTGCATTCTTGCTTTTCAGCTACTGAGAACAGCTTAAAGCCATGGACTTGTTTGACAGTCCTTTCAGTTACGAAGTTGATTTGATGTTCCTTTTTGCCACAAATAACTATTCAATATTTCTTTTATGGGATTGTAGTTTCAAGTAGCTTTGACAGATTGAAAAGACAGTCCCTCCTTTACTCGCTAATTTTTCATGGAAAGAACGTTTTAATGACAAGTGTGAGTCGAGCTAGTTCAGTTTCTAAAGTAAGATAAGAGATCCTTCCGCAGAACTTACTTCTAAGATGAAAGTATTTCTTTCTAATATGGAAGGTAAGCTTAAGTTGCTGTAACTATAGCCCAGGGTATACAAAATACTAAATTTGTCTTTCACTTTAGTAAATAATAGCAATCAACAATTACTCTTAAGAATATTAGCAATAAAACATAAATAACCAAATACAATAAAAATGAAGTAGATGCTAGCAAAAAGCATCTACAAAATGTTCGAACTGCTATTTGGCTTAAAAAAGATAAACAAGATAACCATATAAAGTTAACTTTAAAGATAATTCAGGTAAATCAATTGAACTGTTAGCCTCTGAAATTATTTACTGACTGAAAAATATGATGGCTGCTGGTCTAATGTTCATCAGATAGTCCTGAAGCACAGTTCATAAGCGGTACTAATTTGCATAAGGATGACTGCTTCTGTATGATTGTAATGATTGCTTCTTGTATAAGCTTTTATTTTTAGTAACTATATGTACTTCAAAGAGCTGTTTATGTATTAATGAAGATTTTAAAAATAAGATCAAGTCTGAGGAGGGAAAGATGTCTTGCTGTTTTTCTGGCTGTTTTGATGTGACTAATTTTTTACTCTCTACTGTCCTTTTCAGATGAAATTATTGAAGCAAAGTCTGGGACTGCAACTCCACAGAGATCTGGTTCTGTGAGCAACTACAGATCTTGTCAGAAAGATTCAGATGGTGATGCACAAGGAAAATCTAATGATACATCCCTCACCTCATCAATGACCTCTTCACTTGATTCTTCGACAGCTGACTTAACTCCAAGACCAGGCAGTCATACAATAGAATTTTTTGAGATGTGTGCAAATCTTATTAAAATACTTGCACAATAACTTTGAAGGAGGGCTTATTTCTTTTACAGCAATAAGCATGCATAAATCTTAGTCAGATGCTTCCAGTTGTAATCAATTTAAATTAACAAAGGCGCTGAAAAAAATACCTGCAAAATGCAATTTACCTAGGGACTGAAGTGATTATGAGCAGTTAGGTATATTGCTTTGAAGCTGGAGTGAATTCTGATTTTCTGCTATTCAGTAACTTAATACAGGTACAGGAAATCACACGCCCCTTGGGCAGTGCTTGTAACATTTTCAGTGAGTGCACATTAGTATTTATATAACATTTACATTACACAGTCGTTTTTATCCTTCTTGTTGGTGATGCATACATCTGGAGCACTGTAAGAAAATGTACACTTACAAGTTCAATGACCTAAGGATGACTTGTTGGTCACTGTCTACGTTTGTGCCTCAGTTGATCGGAACAGTTAATGTCTCCTAAGAACAAAGCATTAAAACTGCTGTTCCTTCCCCCTTTATTCAGCAGTAAATGAGATTTTAAACAAAGTTTGATGTGCTATAATATGAAATTCAGTAATTGATAAATTTGATTAGATGTTGGCAAATCCAACCAGTTGAAATTTTCAGTACATGTAAGTACTCCGCAGCACAGTTATGAATAAAACCCTCTAGGGTGGAAGTAGAGCAGTTGAAACCACAGCAGTGCCAAGAGAGATGATGCTGAGAAGATATGCCACGCAGTGGCCTGAAACAAATCACTGCTCTGAAGCACTGTGAGCAAGCTGCTGCTCTGTGCAGGTTTGCTAGCTCATACCATGGTGTAGTAGCAGCACGGCTACTGCAGGCTGAGAATTCTTTGAAGTATATGCATGTGGCGAAGAGCTGGGTTGTTGCATGTTATTCTGCAATCTGAAATTGGCACACCTTTAAAAAAAAAGTTAATACTTAGATATGTCTGCTTACATCCCATGTTAACTTACTATATGCTGTATAGAATTCACATTGCAGTTTAAATACATCTATAAGCTAAGTTCTTCCAGGCTACCCTCGTATGAATTTTACCATTTAAATTGTGGAAATTAATAGTGCAGTTTTTCAGTTGAATGTTAAAACCTGAAAATGACGACTAAAGTGTTAATAGTTAGGAAGCTTTGAAATGCAGATTGCAGTCATGGATAACACGCATGTAACACAAAAACCATAACTGCAGAAGAAATGTTTAAGAAAATGACCTTAAATGCTGAATCAGATATATTTGCTCAAAAATGTTAAATATCTTGTAAATTGGATGTATGTACCTGCAGTTCCATTTTCATTTAGCACTTAATTTTAGCATTTAAAGATGCGTTAATCAATAAATTGCCATAAAACATTTTAACTTCTTATTTGGGGATTTTTCTTTTCAAAATAGACTTCATGGCTTAGTTTGAAAGATTGCTCTCTAATTTAGAAATCAAGGCATTAATATAAACAGTGAAACCTGCTCTTTGTTTGAAATGGATGGGAATTCTTGCCAACGATGAGTCTATGGTTCCATCCTTGACACACTGCTAACTGCAGATGACAAGAACAGTCTAATGCAGTCCAATTGGCTTCAGTCCAGAAATTCCTGTTAGAAATTTGAAGAAATTTGTATCTGCTTAATTCTCAGAACTACTGTAGCTCTTCTCAAGTGGGCAATTGTGTGGCCTGTCTTGTATGTACAGGTAGGTACAACTTCAGTTTCTTGTCTTCAAGTGGCGTCTCACACGATCCCTGTAACGCAGGGTTATATTACTGTAGCTCACAGTGGAAGGGTTCTCTTCGATAAAACTTTGCATTTATACTATTGAGATGGAGATGACAGGATGTGGGACCAGCTATCAATCATACTTCTAAGTTCTTTCTTCAGTCGTGTAAGGAAAGGTTCCGATGTTCTGAATAAATAGGTGTGCTCAGTTTGTTATCCTTTTATTTTGAAACTTAAATATTGCACTTGTACAAGTATAACAAACGCACAGATTTTTTTTTATTGCAGTAATTCCTCATCTGGAATTGGTTTGGGATCACTGAAACTGTTTCCTGCATATGTTTAACTATTTACAAATGGTATCTGCTCCTGGTTTGTAGATTTGTAATGCTGATCACCATTGCAAGATGTAAAGGTGCAAACAGCTTTTAATTTTTATACACTTTTTTTGGCTCTCCTGTGCTTTAAGGCAGCCGTGGTTTTTACTTTGTCTTGTCTGAATGAGGTGAATTTTGTTGGTATAACTCAACAGTTTTGATGGCCAAAGGTTTTGTGATAGAACAGAGGGTTTTTTTTTTAATACAGGTTCAGGGAGGGAGGATGGGACTGACAACCTATTTGAATTCAGTGCAGTTGTTTGTCATATCACTTTCTTAGGCTTTGTAGATCTTTACTTTGAAACTGCTTTCTTCAGATGTTCCTACTGAGCTTGAAGACCTTTTTTAGCATCCCATCAGGCTAAGACTGAATGTCACTGAGAAAAATGCCAGGAGTGTAAGGATGTAATTGATGCAAATAAACAAATTGGTTGAGTATGTCACTCTGTAATCCAAAGCATATTTAGTTGGAGTGTGCTGAATTATTTTTCCTGTGTGTTCTAACTTTATGGAAGCATGGATAAACCTGGTTCTCTCTGAGCTCAGTAGGTAATGAACTGAAAAAAAAAAAGTATAAATTGATGCATAATGCTAAAAGCAACAAAGAAAATTTCATGTCTTGTTATGAGTGTTAACTACAAAATTGGAAGTGTTATTTTACCAGTTGATTAGCATTGTAAGATATGAAGTCCTATTCTTTAATAAAGATGTGCCTACTTCCTATGTTGATTTTTTTTTTTTTTTTTCTGATAAAGTAATAAATGCAAAAATGCTTGTTTACAACTGTGTTGACTTTTTATACTTTCAGAAGCTTCAAGTAAAAACAAAGCACTTAACCATCGCGTTTGGAGGCGTGTGCTGTCTCGTGCTGCTCTGTACTGTCACGGTAAAGAGGCTGCCGCCTCGACAGCTGGGAGGGGACGGGACCGGAAGAGGCAGCGCCATAGCAGCTGCGACACACCGCCCGCGTTCGGCCCGGCGCCGGGTGCGGCGCTGCGGGCTGCCGTGAGCCCACGAGCGCTACTCCGAGCGCTGCGTACCGCCCCGCAGCTGAACGAACGGACGGCCGCGGTGCTGTCACTCGGGCCACTCGGCGCCTGGGCGCACGCAACCCGCCGCCACGGCTCCGCCCCTCCCCGCGGTCGGGCGCGCTCTCGTCGTTCCCCGTCGCCCTCCGCCCGCGGCCGAGCCGCTGCCGCTCCGCCCTTCCGCTTCCCGGCGGGTCAGAGGTGCATCGGGCTGGGAGGTGGCGCGGGCCGCAGGTAGCGGGCTGTGGCTGCGGGGCGGGCCCGGCGGGCAGCGCTCTTGGCGGTGTCCGGGCTGTGCGGCTCCTCGGGGAGCTCGGCGTAGCGGCTGGGCCTGGGGCGTGCCTCGCTTGGTGCTGTTGCCTGGCCTTGGTGCGGAGCGCCTCGCTGGCGACCGACGTGAAGCTGCTGGGCAGGATCTGTATGGATGAAGAGTGCACTGCTTCGTGTTATTGCTCTCAGGGTCGAGATGAGCGAGCTGCGTTTGTTTCTCTGCAAGCCTTAAACCTAGCGCACCTAATCGCTGAAATCTGTTTTTCTCTAGTTCTCCCGATGGCATCTTTTGGCTGGAAGAGAAAGATCGGCGAGAAGGTCTCCAGAGCCACTTCCCAGCAGTTTGAAGCAGAGGCTGCAGATGAGAAGGGTCCGGGTGGTGATGAAGATGAGGACTGGGTGCACGCCACGAAGAGAAGAAAGGAAGTTCTCCTCGAAGACTGCATAAAGAAGAGCAAACAGCTGAAAGACGAGGGGGCAAGTTTGGCTGAAAATAGGAGGTACTGATGTTATCCTAGTCTTTCTTTGACTCAGTAAGTGCTGGGTCTTATTTTAATCCTTTTTCTAAACACTGAGTATTAGTTGCTGCATTCATGCTTCTCACGCTTGAAAAATAGATCGGTTGCTTGTTTTTAAATTTTGCGTCTATGGTCTGATGTTGAGTAGGTTTATTTCTGTTTGTTGGTGTTGATGTTGGCTGCTGCAAAGTCTGCATTCGAGTCTCATATCGTTGTGTTTGCTTAACACGAAATGATGGGGAGAGATGACTGATTGCATCTGAAATTTCAGAGGGCAAATGGAATATTGTGAGATAAGTCGTACTGTAGATAATGCTTCAGCTGCTCAGGGAGCTCTCCTGTCTTGTAAATGTGTTGTAATCTCACTTTAATGTTACAAAGAGTAAGCGCATTTATACGTACACAGTGACTAAGGAAATAAGGAAATAGTGCACAGCAATTAATGTGCTGTTATTTATCTAATTCTTGTGGCAGATCAGGTTCAAGTAGACACTGTGTGTCTTTCCTGATAGTAGTACTCAATAAGGTTTCAAGCAGGATGTTTTTGAAAAAAAAATCCTCCCCTATGAAGACAGGGGGAGGGAGCTGGGCTTGTTCAGCCTGGAGAAAAGAAGGCTGCGGAGTGACCTCATTGCAGCCTTTCAGTGCCTAAAGGGAGCCTACAAACAGGAGGGGAATCAACTCTTTAAAAGGGTAGATAACAGCAGGACAAGAGGAAATGGTTTTAATTTGAGGAGATTTAGGTTGGAGATTTACAGAGAGAGTGCTGGTGAAGTGCTGGCACAGGCTGCCCAGAGAGGTTGTGGATGCTCCGTCCCTGGAGGTCTTCAAGGCCAGATTGGATGGGGGCTGGGACAACCTCGTCTAGCATTAAATGTGGAGGTTGGTGGCCCTGCCTGTGGCAGGGGTGTTGGAGCTTCATGATCCTTGAAGTCCCTTCCAACCTGACCATTCTGTGATTCTGTGTGAAAGAGTATTTCATAAATTGTTCCTGATACACTTCAAGCAGGAAGTAACTTTGGAGTGGAGGATGAACAGAAGCAGAATCATAGAATCACCAAGGTTGGAAAAGACCTTCAAGACCATCCAGTCCAACCGTTCACCTATTCCCAATAGCTCCTACTAAACCATGTCCCTCAACACAACATCCAGCCTTTCCTTGAACACCCCCAGGCTCGGTGATTCCACCACCTCCCTGGGCAGTCCATTCCAGTGCCTGACCACCCTTTCTGAAAAGTAATACTTCCTCATGTCCAGCCTGAATCTCCCCTGCCGTAGCTTGAAGCCATTCCCTCTGGTTCTATCACTAATGACACGAGAGAAGAGGCCGACCCCCAGCTCACTACAACCTCCCTTCAGGAAGCTATAGAGAGCAATGAGGTCTCCCCTGAGCCTCCTCTTCTCCAGGCTGAACATTCCCAGCTCCTTCAGCCTCTCCTCATATGGCCTGTGTTCCAGACACCTCACCAGCTTTGTTGCCCTCCTTTGAACACGTTCCAGGGCCTCAATATCTTTCTTGCAGTGAGGGGCCCAAAACTGGACACAGTACTCGAGGTGCGGCCTCACTAGTGCTGAATATAGGGGAACAATCACCTCTCTGCTCCTGCTTGCAACGCTGTTTCTCATGCAAGCCAGGATGCCATTGGCCTTCTTGGCCACCTGGGCACACTGTGGGCTCATGTTCAGCCGAGCATCAATCAATACCCCCAGGTCCATTTCCTCTACGCAGTCCTCCAGCCACACCGCCCCAAGCCTGTAGCGTCGCCTGGGGTTGTTGTGGCCGAAGTGCAGGACCCGGCATTTGGCCTTGTTGAAACTCATCCCATTGGCTTCAGCCCAGCTCTCCAGCCTGTCCAGATCCCTCTGTATGGTCTCGCTACCCCCAGGCAGATCGACACTTCCAGCCAATTTGGTGTCATCTGCGAATTTACTGAGGGTGCACTCGATGCCCTCATCGAGGTCATCAATAAAGATATTGAAGAGGACAGGCCCCAGCACCGACCCCTGGGGAACACCACTCACGACTGCTCGCCAGCTGGATTTGACTCCATTCACCACCACTCTCTGTGCCCGGCCCTCCAGCCAGCTCTTTACCCAGCCAAGAGTGTATCCATCCAAGCCTCTGGCTGCCAGCTTCTGCAGGAGAATGCTGTGGGAGACAGTGTCAAAGGCTTTGCTGAAGTCTAGGTAGACCACATCAACAGCCTTTCCTTCATCCACCAGATGGGTCACTAGATCATAGAAGGAGATCAGGTTGGTCAAACAGGACCTGCCCTTCACAAACCCATGCTGGCTAGGCCTGATCCCCCGGTCACCCTGCACATGCCGCATGATCTCCCTCAAGACGATCTGCTCCATAACCTTCCCTGGCACCGAGGTCAGGCTGACAGGCCTGTAGTTCCCCGGATCCTCCTTACGACCTTTCTTATAAATGGGAGTCACATTGGCAAGCCTCCAGTCTTCTGGGACCTCACCAGTCAACAAGGAGCGCTGACAGATGATGGAAAGCGGCTCGGCTATCACCTCTGCCAGTTCCCTCAGCACTCTTGGGTGGATCTCGTCTGGCCCCATCGAGAGACACTATAAATTGTGTTTCAAAACTCCATAGTTGGGTTAGACCTTCTCTAGAGGAGAGAAAAACACAGTTTAATAATAGTTCCCTTAAAAACATCAGAATACTTGATACCTGAGTTCTGGCTGTAGTTGCATGGACATCTGTGTTTATTCATTGCTGCAGATCAACAATGATCTGGAATTACTTCCTAACAGAAGTAATTTCACAAGAAGTCAGTATATACTTGTCTTCTGTTAAGCTATACCTGTCAGTCTGAAAAAGGATGGCTGAGGCATTCAGAGAGAACAGCTTAGGAACAGGTAATTCTTGGTGCTGCTAATTATCCTGAGGGGTTGAGTTTTGTCCTGAAACTTTCATTTTAACATTCGTTAGAGAACAGTACATGAACTCAGTCTATTCATGACTAGCAGTGTGGTTTAACTTGTTAATTTAGTGAGACCTGTATCTTGACAGAGAGTTTACAGCAACCACCAATACAAGCTGAGTGGTCTATAAGAAGCATGGAAAACAAGTAATAAGAAATTAAAATGTTGTTTTCAGAAGATTTTTCGCTATCTTTTGTGCTAACGCTTATATCTGAGGCTTAGCAGAAGTTCTGTACTTAACCCTGTAATCTTTATACTTGAAGGGGCATTACTATCATCAGCAACTTTCTCGTGTTCTGTAGAGTTTAGGCAATTACAGCGGTATGGTATTGCTGGTGTACGTAACTTTCAAGCAGACCTCTTTTTAAAAAAAGGTTCACACAGGTTTAAAGCTAAGCTCTCAGTGGGAAGCTTTTACTGCTTAAAAAAGTGGAATAGTTGACATACCATTACAAGGAAGCAGTTTGTGAAGTTATATTTATTCTGTGTGGTGGAAAGTGACTCTGTTAGACGCACATGGTATATTTTTTTCTTACTAAACATTTTGTACAACATAAAGAGACTTGTGTAAAAATAAAAAACTAAAAGCAAATGGTTTTCTGAAATAGTGTAGTAGCAGTTGAACATTTGAGTTGGGTGGTGCAGCATTCAGGTAAAGAAGTGGTATTGATTCAGTTGTAGATAATCAAAAGACTGAAAGCTAATGGGAAACCAAGATGGTATCTTAGCTGATGTGGCTTGTGAGATGAAGAGACGGAGGGGATCCTGAGGGGAAACATATTTGATAAAGAAGCAGAGACTAAATTTAAAAAAGAGTGGAAAGTAATATGTTCATTTCTTATTGAAAAGAAACTACAGTGCACAGTAAAATTAGTATATTAACAGTATGAAGCTGCAACAGGGCAGGTTCTGGTTGGATATGAGGAGAAGGTTCTTCACCACTAACGTGGTCAGACACTGGAACAGCCTCCACAGGGAGGTGGTTATGTCACCAAGCTTGCCAGAGTTTAAAAGTGCCTGGACAGAGCTCTCAGATTTGGTCTGATTTTTGGGTGGTCCTTTGTGGAGCCAGAAGTTGAACTCACTGATCCTTACGGGTTCCTTCCTACTCAAGTTACTCTGTTATTCTAATGTGATAGAGTTTTACAAGTAGATCCAGTATTGCTTGTATGGAATAGTGCTCACTGCTTTTAAGCCTGGGTAGGCCAGGTAGCTTCTGGTAAAGGATAACCACAGTAGTGATGGTATTACTTCCCCAGCATATTTCAGTCTAAGATCAAACTGACTTGTGCTTGCAAAGTGAGTCTTCTCTGGGAGCAAGGAGTAACATACAGCTAGAAAAAACTTGTACAGCCTGCTCTTTGCCTTTAGAAAACTCACACACGTGAACGGTAGAAGGAAGCTGTCACCAGCTAAACGTTTGAGCTTTTATGACAGCTGCCTGGAAGGCACTTGTCTACTATACCCATGTGTGGATTAGACTTGTTAAAAGCCTGGGAAAGATACAGAAGATATGTTGTTGAGGAGAATGTATTTTTCTCCTGATCCATGTATTTTTGAGCCTTCTCAAAAATGTGTCTGTTCAGGTGCATGGCTGCAGGGGCTACCTGATCCTGTTGCTACCAGTAAAGTATGGCAGGGATACCACTTGCATGAGGTGTGAACAGATGGATGATCTGCTCAGTATGTGTCAGAGCTCATGGAGAAGTTGAGATTAAGAAGCATCAGGGAGTGCAAGCTGGAGTAACTTCCAGTCATACCTGGGACAAAGGCACTGGAGTAATAACCCCCAAACAATGGTGAACCTCATGTCTTGTCACCATTTGGCAGTGGAATGGGACCTGAAAAATCAGGAGGAATGGAAACAGGTGGCAATCGCAGGCAAGCTCTTGCTGCCTACTTTGATTCTCTGGGTGCCACTATGTAATGTGTTTGAGGCTCTGGAACTTGAGGGAGAGATGAGGAGAATGCTGTGGGAGGTCTACCCAAAAGGTTGGCTAGGGTGAGGTGGTTGTCTGCATGGCTTTCCTTCTGCCAAGAAG